AAACGGATCAAAATTTTGATTAATTTGAAAATTACATGCGCAATTAGCAATTATTTCGCATGTAGTATTTGCTTTAACAGGGGGGTTTAGTTTAATTAAGTGTAGATGCATTAGACAGTATTTGATTTCTTTACCTAATTGAGACGGTTAAACGAACGTTAACAAAATACGCAGTTATCCTGTATAATCCAGTATACCAGAGCAATTGTATAATAAGCTCCTAAATAAGGAAACATCTCGAACCATGGAGACCGGGGTTCAACTTTGGTAAATTTAGAAGACAGAAAACTTTCTGAGTTCAAAAACAACGGTTGTACATGGTCTCAATTTTACATACTGCTAAAACTTCCATTGCCATGGGATCAAACTAAAGAATTCAGATTAGTGTTTTTATTAGATTAGTTGGGTATATATTGAGAAGATGCGAGTCTTAACTTTGTCTATAATTGAACTGGAAAAACAGAAAAAAAAATGTACATGTGATATTTCCATTTTCGAATGACATTATTCATGTTTCATTCATTTTCATAACATAATTTTGTATTCATAATGATCACAACCTGATAGTGGCAAAAACATTTTTGTAAACCAAATTTTATCCAAACCATTTTCCTCGCTCGTTGTAAGCAACAATAACTTCTATTTTATGTGCTGTGGACCTCTATCACTTTCACATTTCTACATACAGAATCGTAAACATCCACGGGTATGTTTATGTTGATAATTAAATTACACTTGTTGTGGTAGTAAATCTAGCCCACCAATCAACATGAAACAAAATTATTCCTCCGTTCTGAAATTCGGACAAAATAACGGAACAAAGCCAAGCATCACAACACGCACGAGCTTGTTATTGCTTATGAAAATATAATTTTACGCTCTACTGGCCTGGGGTGTGATGCCACTCTCCCCCAACGTCAATAATATAAATTGCTTTTATTTGCAGGCCATGCAAATTTCGATGTCGGCAGCTCACAACTTCAGTTATTAATATGCATTAGGTTAGTTTAAGCCGATATCGATGCTCGGATTATAATTTACCCAATTCGATGAATTTTCAATTTCAAAGAAGATTTGTTTTGATAATCGCACGGGTCATGTGTACATTCAGATTAGTCGATGAATCGTAGGTAATGGTAGAGCGAGCCACCTTCAAGGAAATCAAAATGGAATACATCCTACTAATAATTTGGCAAAAGTCTTTCATTCCAGTAAATTCATAGCACTCGACGAACGTAATTTTATATAAACATTATTGTGTGAGTCGTCTAACTTTGACTCCTTAACTCAAGTTTCTCCTTCGAAGAATTAGATATGTTACGAGTTCAAAAGGAAAATTAATTATGTATCTCGTAGTTTCTGGATTAAAGTTCCAGAGCATTACTTAAGTTCACTGTTATTTCAGTAACATTTTGTGTTCTAGTTGAAAAGCTTTTTCGCTAATGCAAAAATTCAACACAGTTTTGAGGTGGAGAGTGTCTCTAGTTATTCGAAAGTTTATTTTAAGGTGTTCCTATAACGTTTTACGTAGGTGGCATAAAATTACAAGGTCGAGAAGTTTGATCGTTAGTTGCTAGCTATGTCCTGGGTGAATAATTGCGATGTTGGATCTAAGAAATTGTATTAGTTTTTTTAACATTTGTATCGGTTAAAACCTGAATTTTTATAGTATTTCCGGAAAATGGACAACATACTTTGATCACTTGATGTATTTAAAACATTGTTTGGTGTGATAGACATTTTTCAATATTTACTCAAACGTCCAGATACCAATATCGAGGATTGTTTACGTTTTCTAATTAATATAATGTGGATAGTCGAATGCTCGTTTGAATCTGGAGGTTTAGCTGAAGACATATTAAAGTTTTACACCATAAACTAGTCTTCCTGTCCCTGGAAAACATGTTACCTTAAGAGCGCTGCTTAACTCTATTATTAATTATCCATAATCGAAATTGGCATTAGTTCTTTGTAGTAGCTATTTAGGTTTACTTGGAGAGAAATGAAAAAGTCCGAAAATTTAAAAGGCTTAGTAGATTGCATGGGATTCCCTACATAATTACTTTTTCTGTTTTGTCAAGCGGATTTTTGTTATTCATGCTAGCGAATTTATAATGTTTTTCCTACCGCGGCTGCTTTTTAAAACTATCTTTCAGCTTTGAATTGAAATTTACCAATGCTTACAGAATTGAAATAGTCCATTCAAAACAGGTAAATTCTGCAGAACAGAGAGTTTTAATTGGTTGCGAGCTGTAGATGAAAAATTCATATTTAAATTTTGCCAATCTGCCACATGATTATTAATTGAGATGGTCACTTAGTAATTGTGGATTGTCGTAAATGGAACTGATGTAATCGAGCCTTTATTTCATTTTAAGAATTTTAAAGTGGTCGGTTTGCTTAATTGAGGAGTTTTAATAGAAACTAAGAACTAATTAAGAATTAAGTTATTGTTTATTTATGGTGTTTTATGCACCGGTTATTTTTTAAAACGTCCAATAACCAATGGTGCTGGTAAAATTATGTAAACTATCGATTAAATTTTTGCCCCAAACTTATTCATCAAGCAAAAATAAAACTTCTTATTGTATATAACTGTTTCTAATGGCAAGAATTACGTTAGCGATTTGACGATGCTGAAGTTTACTTTGAACGAGAACCAATAAACAATTTCTAACATCAAGATTGTTTGTGAGTTCTATTATAATTTTTGCTCACAGATTGGCTGAAATTATTGATGACTAAAATCAGTATGTCCATAACAAATTTCAGTAGCATCAATAGACACATATCAAATGCTCTGAAAGTGCTGTATAAATCTGCAACAACTATCAAACTGAAATAACGACAGTTTTGTCATTTTTACTAGTCATTTTCTAAACAAGAAAGTGCACGTTATCTATATTTTCATATTTTCAGAGACTTTAGCAGCCATATCCAACTTTGTTTTTTCTTAAGTGGGGTTCAGTAATTTGTTAAATTTTTAAGTCAAAGATATTATAATTTTTTCTTTACCACTTGTATACCTGACTGTAAAATAACCCTACTAAAAATATAAATAATCCATGATTTCCATAAGTGTCACTTATTTTTGCAATTTAAATATACGTATGTTCTAAACAAAATTTAAATGGAATTCCGTATTTTGTTATGGCAGGTTAAGTTCCACCTGAACCTCTAACTAAACGTATTGTAGGGACCTAATTGAAACTATTTTAAATTTCTATAGGATGCGTACAGCATTAAAATTTCATCATAATAGAAATTTATTTTTTGCAATAGGAATTATATCTTTGCAATTATAAATTTGAAACGAGCAATCATGTCAAAAAACGTATAGTTTCATCTGCCCGAATGATGTTGATATGTGGTAAGCGATTCATTATACACATATTGATTTTAGAAATGGTTTGAGTTAAATCTGATATTAGTAGCAAAAAATAATTTCTTCCTAATTTTTGGCCTAATAACTGGCGCCATGGTCGATACGTTTAGAAATATGCCTATGAAACACCTCGAATCGCCAAGTTCTATCACGCCATTATAGTAGTACATACTTGCATAAAATAAAGCTGCGTTATATGGTTTCTATGTAAAAGCCGATCTCAAATAAAGCCATTTTTAAAATTCCAAATATAATGACACCTGAAGTGTAATTTAGTAACATATAAATAATTATATTCACCATCTTCCAAAATCCCATTAAAACTTTTTCACGTGCAATCCAATGCGGAAAACAACATTTTATTTTCGCGAACGAGGAAACTTTAGTTTTAGTCTGCGGATAATTAATTATTGTGCTGTACAGAGTTCGCCATAAAGTTAAGTTAGCAAAATAAAATTAGCGTCTGCTCGCCCTCCAGCTTAAAAGGATAGTAATTGACTATTCTGTGTAGCGAGGATCTGAAATGGGGTCGTTTTCGACAATGGAAGTTAATGACCGCTCTTAGTTTCACAAAGAATTTCCCGGATTTATGCAAATATTTTTGGTCGGCGGTCAATTCGGTTAAAACTGATTTTGCTAAAAGCTCGATGGAATCCGTAACTAATATATTATGTTTGAAATCTAGTTAGTGGAGTAAATTATAACTATGACCAGAAATACAATTTATTAACTCTGTAATGAATTTTGAGGCAAATATGCAAACATTGCATATACTAACTGACTACTTCCTACCTACTGGATAAATAAATTAAATCTCATATTTTTTACATTGGATGACCGAAGATATGAAAAACTGTAATAAATAATAAAAAGAGGATATTCGAATGAATTATCCGTCGATAGCCAAAACTGGATTTTAGTAAGATTGAGGTCATTGAGGTTTGTACATTTTACAAAATCTAAAACTTTAACTGGCGCAGATTATTGCTCCGACATCAGAAATTTTTCACTTTCAACAAGGGTACTCATGGTCACTTAAGTGCGCTAAATTAAATGCTCAACATTTCATGACAAAATTTGTTATCTTATATACGTAAATGCGATTGCTACCATAAACATGCATATTCTCCAAAATTATATCCCCTAGTGAAAAAGCCGTTATGTCTCGTATTTCACCAGATAAATTATGTATTTAGTGCATAATGAAATTAAAATATTCCAACGTGTAATAGTACAATTGATAAATGTCTAAATATAATTGCACCTCCTATCTAAAAGAGTATCTTTGGCACTTTTAAAATTAAAATTTCCTGGGACTATTGGAAAAATTTTGAAGCCCCTCCATAAAGATAAAGAAATATATCACTTCAAAAACCATCATTTTATTTTTATAAAAATTTCACAATTTTGAATGTCCAGAAGCAAATAATATATGTATTTTTTAATTCTGAAAAACTTAAAATCGCTTGCGAACATGTATCTAAATAGATAAATTCTACTGGAAAGCCGTTTTGTTATTGGGTTTCGACATTGCTTCCTTAATCTGTACTTAACTATATATCGCTATCAAATTGCTTATTACAGAGTCAAATAACATATAAATTATCTTTTTCAGAATGGCTGGTTTACAACAAACCCAACTAGGTCAGACCTTGCAACAAGGAGGTGGTCAAACCAACACCTTAACGTCTCAAGTTGCCACCCAACAGTCCGCCCCTTTGGTTGTACCAGTGTTTCCCATTCGGCCTGCCCCACCACCAACATCGTCCCATTATTCACCATACTCACCGTCCAGGTTCCATATCGATAAACGATGCCAATATCGATGCTCATGGAAATGTTTCAGCATACTTTTGATATTTTTGAGTGTGCTGCTTACTGGAATGCTAACGTATTTTGCTGGTAAGTTAATTGCCCAGTAATATCAAAAGATAAATTGAAATTTAAAGAAAATGGAAGGAATTTTAGCAGACGAGAAACCCCACCAACTTTTTTAATGCCTGAAAACGACGACACTACACCAGACTTATTGCTTCACACAACCAACTTAACCAACTATATTAACAATATCCAACTGACAAATGAACTGGGATCAGATCACATGGCAATAACTTTTGGCTTAGACTTAACACTAACGCAACCTACCCTCAGCACACCGAATCAAGAGAAAAAGCTAAACTTAACTAAGACTGACATAGACAAAGTGAGACAACACATACATAACTACATACAATCGCAAGTACAGACCATCTCAATTGAAACCATACAACAACAACTTTCACTAGCGATAAGAAAATTCACCCCTGAAATAAAAAATGTTTTCTACCGACACACCCTATCCAAATTCATACTGAGACTCATCAAACATAAGAGAGAACTTTACAGACTATATACTTACACCCAAAATAACGACCTAAAAAATACACTGAACCAACTCAACAGGAACATTAAAACTCTGATTCAACAATACCGACAAGACAAATGGTTAGAAACATGTAAGGAAATAGAAGAAGACAAGGGCAAAACATATTGGCAAAAAATCAAGAAATTAGCACAATACAAGAAAACTAACACTACTGGCACAATTGACGAAAACGGAATAGAACGTTATACAGGCAAAGAGAGAGCTGACGCATTCGCCAGACACTATCAAAAGGCCTTCAGCATATCGACAAACCCTAAGTTCGACAATGACAACTGGAACAAGATCAATGACTGGTACTTGAACTACTTTAACAACTCACCAAACTATACTTACAAACTAATCACAGACACAGAGTACGATGAAGGCCTATCACATATCAAAAACACAGCTCCGGGAAAGGACAAAATAAAGGCAAAACTCCTGAAAAGCTTAACCCAAGAAACCCACAAACTCATCCTTTCTGAAATGAACAACTGCATCATAAATAACAAAATTCCGAAAACATGGAAAAGTGGTGTAGTAATTCCTATACCTAACACTGTATTTTATTGCGCTTTGAAATTGAGAAAAAATGGTTATTCGATGCAATGCTCCAATCTGTAGATACTGATTTGTTCACTGAGTTTGATATAGGTACAGTATCACAATGATTATTTTTTATCTAGCCCTAAGTGACATAATATCCAAAAATCACCTAGAAAATATGTATCCTAACTATTTTACGTATTTAACTCAATTGCGAAAATAATTCATATTTTTCTAATTAACTCAAAGCTTTAGTTCAACTGATTCAAAAATATGATGGTTCCGACAATCCAATTCATTTTATTTATAAAAAGTATTAATTAATTTAAATTCGTTCTCATGTTAAATAAAAATTAGTAATTCTGTCCATATTCTATATACGAATTTATACCTACTACTTCCTTACATTTTAGCTTTTTTTGATTAAATAAAAATGCACAGCCGGCACCAACAAATCAGTTTTCTCAAATACACCTCAAATCCTTTAGCCAACCGCTTAAAATGCAATTAACACAGCAATCAATGTATCTAAGTTTCTATATTTGGATCGTTTTAGGAAAACCAAAGCATTTATATGGATATTTGCAATCCCGATTGAATTACCTTATGTCGATTTTCTTTACTTATTTTCAGCTGTGAGCTCAATGAAAGCAAACATAGATGCACCTAACTGCATATTGGTTCAAGACGTAAAGGATGGAGCAACGCAGGATCAGATCACCATGGGCTCAGAATCAACGCAAATACCCACAGAAGGTACGCCTAAGTATTTTTCTTCGTGAATGAGACTAACATTAAATATTGAGAAAAATTGAACGGTATGGTCTTATACTATTCTAGGTACCATCCACCATTTATCACGAGATAAATTCCTATCAATTCGGCTTAATAAACTAAGTTAAAGTTTTGGTGAAATAAAATAACGATATTAAAAATAATTAATAAGTATACGATTTATACTCACTAATCACCGTCAATCAATTACCGTCAAACGTATATGTAGGTATACATAGATTTGAATCTATACGACCAATCAATAGAGAGCATAACTAAGATGATATTATGGCGAATTCACATATAAACTCTATTTTAAGATTTTTTTTGCTTTATCAATAAAAACATAGTGAACCGCCTAAAATAATATTTTCATTATTTCATTTGGAATGGCGATATTCGATCAACCTGGAGTGAAGTACTCTAAATTACACGTTTTTATGTAACGCGTCGGTTTAATTTATATGCTAATATAAATTTTAGAGGTGCTGCAAATGGAATATGTTAAAATGATGCTGATAACCACGGAACAATATGTTTAAAACCAAATAGATCGACGGCAATTTTATATATTTTTCCGTAAATTTATGAGTTTTCTTTGTAATAAAATTGGTGTAAAAATCAATTTCAAGTAAACAGAAAGTATGTATGACTCATTTTCAGAATGTGCTCGATGTGTTGCAACAAATGATTTCTCTTATTGATAAATTCTGTAATGAAGTCAACCTTCCATTTATATAAACGCCTCTTATAGAGTCTAACCTAACTTCCTTCAGTGACCACTGTTACGCAATGTCTTATTATTAAACACACAATATAGTTTAGCACACTCTTAGGATTGTTCGCTCTTTTCTTCGCAGAATTTAACAGGTTTACCTATATCATTCATAGTAGTTACAAAGTTCACAGTTAACTTAAATCAACCTGTATATATTAATCGTATAAATAACGTGCACTCACACAGTTTCGCGTATTTCCGATACCACATTTCAGGTGTTTTAGTAGTTTAGTTGTACTAGGATTTGTCGACTTTCTTTTCGGTTTGCTACTCTATCCTTTATGACTTTGCAGATATTATAAAATGATTTACAACTTGCTGATTTATTTTAACTCCTTTATAAACACTCCTTGTCAGCCCATTGCTTCAAATAGACGAACCGTAACAAGCATCACGAGAGCTGAAATGTATGGCAAGTTTAGGGACCGTTCGACGACTCCCCACCCGGAGGTAATGTAATCAGATCAAGGAACATTCCCTGTGAGACATTTATAGATCATATTTTGGTACGGGAATTGCCTCCCTATTGAAATCATATATCTTGATTTCGAACTTAACGAGGAAATATTCGTATGTAAATAACGCTTGAGAATAAAATTAAAACGTTAGTTACATTGAAACTGCTTTGTATAAATATATTCGTTCGAACAAAGGAATTGTCGCCAACGGCGAACTGATCTGGTATTCTCTCTCGAAAATAATAATGTTTTAGTGCTTCTAGCACTCCTGTTGGTTCTATGTCTAACTTTATTGCCTGCTTCTTTACATCAACCCATGACTTGAGGGTATGAGCCTGTTCTGACCAGAAGTTACAAACTGGATTTGGATCTTCCTTTCCATTTGCAGAAACACTCCATCACATTACGTTCTTTATTACAACAGCAATTTCCAATGTTTAGTTGTGCTTAAGAGTTTTGTGTATACCTGAATAGGGCGCGATTTGCTATTAATCTGTTATATTTAACATAATATAAATAATAAATATGATGTTTAAGTTGCATTTATTTTTGAAAGAAGTCTTTCATCTGGATTAGATTCTACAATTGGACAAATAGCAAAGTTCTCATTTTCGGAAATGTGACTTATTTTGTATAGTCTGACATTTGGATCAATTTAAATAAAGGGTTTCCACAATGAACACAAGTATCTTCTTCTAGAAATAAGAAGCCGTACTTTGATCTTAAAATACATAGCTAATACGTGTTGACGCTTGGTGTATGAAAGTAATAAAATGTTAACATGACATACTCAATTAGATGACTAAAAATATAGCTGAAAATGCGTATTGTTTTGGACCGATTCAAATACTGTTAAAACGCTAATTGTGGAAAAATAAAGACTAATTTCTAATCATAGGGTTACTTTTGACGATAGGGTTGATTTTTTGTTTCCTATGTGGAAACGATTTATGAAAATCAATTTTATGCACGGTTCGAATAAATTTTACAGTCAAAACCGCCCCATGTCACATAAAGTTACTACCATAAAAATGTATTCACAACCGCGTTAACCGCCTTAACCTTTATAACTGTTTTATTACAAAATTTATTAGTCACAAGAAACCTACTCCAGATGTGCAATAATTCCAAATTTACAAACTAAATTTATTCTTATTTGACTTTAATTTATATCTAGTCTAGAATAGTAAACATTATTAAATGCTTTTTAGCTTGTGAAAACTGTTATTTAAAATCATCATCAATAAAGATATAAATTTAATCAATATGTATCAGATATAAATCATATTTATTGCAGTACCTACCTCACACCGAAGTATCTATTCTGCTAAACAATTGACAGTAATTCCTATCTCACGGCCTGACAAAGACCTGAAACAGTTACTTCCTGTGTTAAATCTAGTTTTTGTTAAAACATCACTTTTGCTTTTTATCACCGTTATATGCTCAACAATATCTTGTTTTTAACTTTCTGTTGTCTCTCTAAAGATCGTGTGGATTTACCATCTCTAAACCTTCACCGTTTTCCCAAAAATAGATCACAAACTAGCTATATTATCATTCAAAACGGTCTAATATGTTACTACATAAATTAAATTACTAACTGCATATCGGCAGCAACTATGACAACTATGCAACTATGAAGGCTTTCACGGCCAGTCAAATCACATTTAGAAATGTTTTCCGGGCTTTGAAGCCGTGGTCCATGGGAATTTCTTCCTGACGTTTCGTCCACAACTACGGTGGACATTATCAAATATTGCCGGCCGGGCCCCATAAATACGACAGGGGATCCGGTAGTTGTGATCGGAAAGCACCGGAGATCACTTCGCCCACTGCCCCATCGCCTTTGATAATGCTTCCTTTCTAAGCTCAATACTTGAAAAAATGTATTTAGTAATTTTCAAGTTATATTATTTCTAGAGAGAAAGCCCAAATAAAAATATTTAATAGAAAAGCTCCCTTAAAAATGCCTTTCTAAGTATGCCCTTGAATATTATTTGCCCACCTATAAATCGCCATCTGCCATAACGTGTTCGTCGGGTTCCTCATTTAGTTTTATGTAACGTACACTTGAGAAACTTGCGATGTTTGGTTGGCACTGATGATTTCGCAAATAAACGATGAATTCCAATTTCACCGGCAATACGATTCCCGGTCAATTCATGGCTAATTCAAATCAAATGTTGCCCCCTTACTTTGGCTCAATCCCAAACTTTGTAATTTTGTAATTGGAGTTTCTTTGGGAACTTGAAAGTTTTCCCATTTCCGTTAGCCAATGCCTATACACATATTTCCGAACAGGATAAAATTGCAAAAAAGCCGTAAAGTTTCAAAGTTTCTCATACTGTTGTCGTTAATTTCTGACAATGACATACTATAATTACCGTGTCTAAACAGCGAACACTTCCTCGAAACTTCTTGCAGCTACCACGGCACTTTGTTTCTGAGTTATTTATTTCCTTTAATAAAAAGTTTTCTCTTTGAAGGTGTAAATAGGGTTTTTGTATGGTTTCTGTCGTCCCGAAAGTGTTACTTTTGTTTTGCCGATGGAACTATAGAAAGAAAGAAACCCACTAAACTCAAAGCAAGTCAAATCGAGAAATTAATTTGCAGTTAAGGGGTTTGTTGTAGCATTCGACACATTTTACTTCGCTTTGAAATTAAACGAAATGCCGAATGAATACTGAGCTGGATTGTTTAACTTTTTTGTAGTTAAGAGTGGCTTCTATGAACGAATTATGTAATTGGTTGGTTAATTGTATTTGATTTCCTCAAATCGAATTATATATTTTGCTAACCCATTGACTTGACTAAGCAAATGTTTTTTTTACAAAGATGATGCCATGCTATAGGACTTCTTTTAGTGCCGGTGGTCGGATATCATCACACTATTTTTACTTTATTTGCCGCTATTCTGAAAAGTTCTTTCGAGCTACAAGTAAACCGATTCCTCAGATTTCTCAACCATGCAATTATCTTTCTACCAATGCTCCTTCTTTCCTTTATCTTTCCTTGCGTGATCACTATACGACACACAGACCAATAATTTTTGAATAGCACGGGCACTTTTTGTTGTTTGCATCTTACTTAAGCTTATACCTCTTTCATTTTCCTTCGATATTTACTCACAGTGTGTGTTTTACATGCATCTATTGTTTAAAAAAATTAGGCGACCATGAAACAAAAAATTTATAAAGCGATATGGATCGCTTAACAACAGCAACAGTAAAGTTCCATTAAAATAGTTTAGAAAAGGTCGTCAGCCAGGAAGAAAATTGCCTATTTATTGAATTTAAGAAACAACATTGAATTTGCTACTTTCAAAAAAGTATCAATATTTCACAATATTACTCAGACGCTTCCAATAGAGGAAATTGAATATAAGTAAATGTCAAGAAACAACTATTTTAGCAAAATCGATCGATTTGATTTTATTTTATTAATATTGGGTTTGCGAAAGATAATAATGCAATAACAGTGTACAACATTACCTATTGAGTTAGTTCCACTTCACTGAAAAGTAATCAATCCTTTTGCAAGATAATATTTTATTTGTAGTTTAGCTTTTATAATAAAAACACCTAAAATCGAGATGCTTAAAAATTAGCTAATACTAAAATACACGTAGTAAATAACAGTATTTATTAATACCTGACTATCCTAAGCGTAACAAACCCTTACCTTATTGTAAAATTGTGAATAAAGGGACTTTCCACTTTAATATTTATCTTCTACGGTTTTGATAGTATCATGGTCTGGAATATAAATACGATGTTTATATAATGTGGGTCGTTTACGAGATAAGCGCGCAAAATATGTTTGCCAGATCTGGTCCAGATACGTCAAACCGAACGCTAAATACTTATGCATCTTACACTACAATCTAAAAGCTTTCTGTTTCTGTATGCAAAAAACTGTACACCGAATTCATTATTTTCAAACCTTGTGAATGCGAAATCAAATAAACTTGATGAAAGATTGAACAGTTGTATTTTTCCGCTGAAGGATTTGGTATTTTGTTTCCAGAATCTCTTCCGACCAGCACTGCCGAGCATTCAAGTGCAACAACACAACACAGTTCATTGTTGCAATCGGCTCAACAACAACTGCAATGGTCTCCTTTGCCATTGGAGCAACGGGAGTTGGATATACTGCATTCCGCAACTATTCCACCATATCAGTTTTGGCATTCTGAGTTTCGAAATAAGCAACCAGCCTTCTTCAGGTAAGCGGCTAACAAAATTCTGAACATTTTTTTGTGATTGGCACTTGGAAATATTATAATCATATACCACGACTACGAATTTTGGCTACTATCCATGTCTCGAAAAATATGTGTTCAATAAATAAAATAATAATAAAAATTTTACACTTTTGCAAGAACAATCTGTATAAAAGTAGGGCCTCTAAGTAAATGATTCTTTTTTGGCGTTTCTGGCAATTCGCATCTCGCAATATTTTGTCATTTGAGAAGGATCGGTAACAACATTTAAAACTGCATCTATCAGTTATTATAATAAAACACAAATACTTTCAAAATCGTTAATAATATATAGTATAAAACTTCATATACACAAAGCGCAGTTTTTAACAGCAATTTCGATCGAATTCAACTTTTGTGCGTGAAAATCCGGACTGGAATTCGCATTTCTATCTTAGCCTTGGCAACATTTTCTGTTGCAAATTCTCAGTGAGGGAGTAAATGCATTTATGACATTTAAATAATTCACAAAATATTACCTGAATCGATTCAATCAATCAATCCTATTTCGACTATAAGTTAAAATTCGTCAGATTTATAAATCGCACATAAAAATGTCAAAACTGTAAAATTAGTATTAATTGAAATCGGTGTTTGGTAAGTAGGTGCATTCTTTGTAGGAGGCGATAGTGCACGTAATTTTGGATATATTTTTCTTTGTTAGACCATATTCCGAAAACTCTTAGTCTCCGATCTACAGCGTGTAAAAGTATTAATTTAAGATTTATATTTTTCAATATTGTGGAAACCCCTTGGATATGATGATAACCCCATGATTGCCTCACTAGTACCTAATAAAGAATTTAAATGTGTAAGATGTGTACATTACACATGTAAATACGTTTTTGATGCACAACTGTTTTAATCGCTAGAAAAAAAATTGAAGTAAATGAAATTGGTAACCAACCAGGAAACTTAGGGGTAGCGGTATGAATATTTAATTGTTTGTTCGTCTATATTGCAATTTTAAAAAGCAAATAATCATTTTTCAAAGCTTGGTAGCATTTAAGATTTATGTTGTCTTTGTCATTTATCACTACTTCCGAATTTTAGTCTATTTCTGTAGTTCATTAAATACCAATGGAAGAGAACAAAGTTGTTTTGATAAATGCTGAATTTTTCAATGAATTCACGTGAAGTTACTTTTCCATACTTTAAGGCGCACCCTAAATACACAAAACTCGTACCTATGAAACCTATACGCAGCTCAACCATATTATACCGTATCAAAGGTGTTTTCTCCAAAATAACATAATTGAACACGGAAAAGCTCTTCGACTTGCGATTTCAAGGGCTTCCACTTGCCAAGTGGAAACCTCTTATTCTGTTTATTTCTTGTTCTGTATTTCCTCCGTTTCCAACTAAAATATTTAGCTACGCAACATATATTTTTCAAGTGGATAAGAAAGGAAATAAGCAGTTTTCACTGAGGACAGGAAAATTCTTTATGGAAAATCGAATTAAATTTTTTGATGTTTTATCGAAATACTTAGGTACAAAGTACAATTTTAATTTCAGCTGTCGTAAAAATGTTTGTTCCTCTTGAGCCATGAAAAATTATACTTCTAATTAATGCCACCTGTCGTTTTTCTAAGTCTATTATCTAATCATGTCTACTTAAGCACGCTTTTTAATTTTCGTTGATAAAGTGGTTCAAATAGTTCCAAAACTTCCAATTAAAAAGACAGAAGGTCCATTTGTCACTAGCCTTAAAATATCTCCGTTGCTTCATTTCGCTAATGTTACCATATTTTTCAAATTCTTTAACAGATATGTTCGAATGTATGTGTTAATGACAAAGATTAATTTATCTATTCTTTGCGAACTTTCATAAAATATTCATCTGGAATGGTAAGATATGAAAAAGACTGGAAGGAAAATTGTTGATAAATTTGCGGCATTAATTCTAATGGATTTCTTTCAAAAGTTTGCGGAATATATGTTGGCGGTTCTGACTTTATTTAGTTAGTCAACAAATGTGTTTTTACTTTGAAACTCAGAAAACGGTCACTAAAGTTTTCGTCGGTTTATATGTAGCGCGCTGATGGCATCCTTATTCGAATCGAAGGTAGGAATTCATATGAAATAGTCAAGTTCATTTAGCTTGTAAATCAGCAAAAGTTACTTATTGATCAGTTAAGCAGCTAAAACTTACTAATTGATAAAATGTTTTTATCAGACTATGAAGGCTTTCACGGCCGGTCAGATTACATTTATAAATGTTTTCCGGGCTTTGAAGCCGTGGTCTATCGGAATTTCTTCCTGACGTTTCGTCCACAACTGCGGTGGACATTTTCAAATGCGATGAGGCAGTGGGCGAAGTGATCTCCCGTGCTTTCCGACTAAGAATGATTCAACAGCTGGATTCCCAGTCGTATTTATGCCGCCCAGCCGTACAGATATTGGAGAAACACCAAGTAAAAACCATTTTCAAACCAACTCGAACCATCCAACAGACTTTGAGATCGGCCAAGGACAAACGAGACCCTTTATCAGCACCAGGAGTCTACAGAGTTCCGTGCAGTTGTGGAAGAACATACATCGGCACCACAAAACGAAGCATTAACACTAGGATCACGGAGCACAAACGAAGTTGCAGATTGGGACAAACGGAAAAATCAGCAGTAGCGGAG